CTATGTTAAAAAGTTAAAAAACTCAAAAATTACCGATAAGGCTGCTATTTTTTTCCACAAAACTATTTTTTTGTAATATATACCGGGTGTCCACAAATTCTTGGTCTGATTTAATAGCTTTACAGTACGAAAACCATTAGAGCCACACATAACTTTTATGCCTTGTTTTAAAGGGAATATAATCAAGTTTTATTTAATGAAATTGGTGACACCTAAACACAGCTGATTGACAACAATACACTTATGATTCAATATTAAAACAATCAGAAATGGAGAGTTTACAAGAGAAATCACAGTTTGTTTTGTTGTTTCACGAAACCCAATCCCCTATAGCAGTTCAACGACTATCCATTCAAGTGGGAAGGTTAACAGACACAATAATTGAAGAATTTTTGGGAATTTAAATCTCAGGACCGTGATTGAAAATCAAAGGGCCAGTCCAAATTAAATCTTTGGTGTGGTGTAATACATAATGGAATCATTGGATAATTTTGCTTTGCAGAAGAAAATGTAAATGGGTTTGTTTACTTGGTTATGTTGGAGTTGTGTGTAGTCCCTCAATTATAAGAACTGCAACTTATGATAATTTTTCAGCTAGATGGTGCCCTGCCTCATTGGGCTAAATGAAAACAAAATCCTGCAATTGACGTCCTTGTCCTACTTGACATTCCTTTTTAGTCACTTGAAAACTCCAATAAATACTCCACCAGCATTTCTTCACGAATCACTTTAGTTTTTAGACAATTCTCAGCTTTGGTTCAAGCAAATCTATGGGGTGACTTTGAAATACCTAAAACTTCAATTAAAATAACCCCCCCCCCCAAAAAAAAAAGAGGAGCCAACGTTAAGCTTTCAACAACAAAAGCTTCCTGGGAAATCTACTCGCACTCTTTCAACATTTGCTGGTGTACAAAGAGTTTTGCTGTATACCCACCAATTATTTTTAGGGGTTATGTCCTATTCCGCCCGAGTTTTATTTCGCCCGTAGCCTAATTAGTCCCAGTTCGCCCACGGTCCCAGATTAACCCCTATAATCCTCAGCTCTACCTGCGTCAGGAGTCCTATTCCATCCACAGAGGCAAAGCCTCGCCTCTTAGGACCCCACCCACCCCCAACTATGTAACAGCCCTCCCCTACCCATCACCCGGTTATCCACCTTAGACTATATCCACCTTAGACTACACGGTTATTTAAGCTTAAAATATTTGTTTGACAAACCAGACAAACCAAGCGAATTTCCTTTATATTATTAATGTAAAGTTTAGACACAAAGATATCAGCATTAAAATATAAAGTGGCATGTGCCCTTATTGATGTAGCCACTATAAAGATGTCAAATCATTATAATGTGGAACTTTCCTTTGGGTTGAAACGCTTCAACAGTAATCTATATTGATAAATGGTTACGACATAACAGATTAATAAAATTTACTGTCCATGTACTGTTAGTTACTGTATGTTTGTCTCCCTATCAAAAATGTGCAAATAAGCAATTTAATTATTTATAATATTGCGTTTAACGGCAAACAGAAACATATGATAACACTGCAATCCAAGTCCAAGACTTGACCAAACAAAGGCCACTAGTTAGCTGCTTCTAGTGTTAAATACCCAACTGCACACCTTTGAGTTTTCTTTATTATACAATGTAAATAATTCACCTATTGGGTTTGATGATGATTGGAGTGTCGAATCGAACTCGATCACCATTTGCCTTCTTTTATGTATATTTATCGTCTGGTGAGATAAATAAGAGCACAAATATATGTTTTGAGTATTATTAGACTATCTTTTTTTACTTTTTGTATACAATGTAATGTAGTAGTTTACGCACGGAATGCGTTAAGATAGTGTCGTTTACTCTATTTACGCGAGTTGCGTACACTACTTTACCTACGACAACATTTTCTCATGAATAGCCAGACAGGACGTGGATGAAGCGCGAGGGATGTTGACTTGGAAAGTCCAAGCGTTGTCCGTGCGAAACAACAGGGGAGAAATAGCAGAGTTTAGCATTTTTCCAGAGAGGGTGGTCATTAAGGATTCGTCATCGGCATGCTTCTTTTTTGGAAGACGAGAGCTAAATTTCAGTGCCTTTGACTGTTACACATCGCGATGACAACTACTAATAGAGATGCGCTTAGTCTTATTTACAACGACTATGGATATTATAAAAACGCGAGAATAATCTGGTGAAGTGATCTGGTGGTATAGTTTTATTATTTTATTATTTATTTATTATTTATTTATATATTTTACGCCGCACTACATTATTTTAACGAACTTCCCAAGCAAGGATTTAGTCCAGAAAACAGCTGTTAGCCACCAGCTTATTCAAATGGTGTTTCATTGCGTACCACCTTACTGTAATGAGTTTTACCGGACACCAATCAGCTGATTATACTGTATTTAGGTGGCAATAAATGTTTATAAACAAAAACATAACCTCTCTTAGAAGTTATGACTACGGATTTTTAGTCCTTTAGTTTGTGGAAATTTATAAGGATATGTACAGATTTAGTAGTATGGCGTTAAATATTGTACGTAACTTGTCCAAAATATGTGTACCAGACTCGTATGGCAATCCCTTGCGTCTCGCACGGGAACAACCACACTCGTCCGGTAAACACTTATTTTCAGGACTAGTAACGTAATATATATACTATTTCGCTTCACTACTGTGAAATCGCCTGTTATCGTTACATGTATCGTACCTGCAAAAACTCTGCATTACATTGTTTACTACTGCATAAGAATGTTTACTATGTGAAAGTACATATTAACTTTTTATTCAAGGCATAACCAACAAACTGGTGTTGTAATGAAGAAAATAATTATTCTTTGTGGTGCTCAATAAATCCCAAACTTCAAACATGGTCTCAAATATGTTATGACTTACTTTCTACTCCTTGTTATAAAATTACAACAATTACTACGATACTATAAACTAATACCTACGACTGTTTTTAAGCTAGCCATTTCAGTGCAATTCTTAGAATTAAAAAGATTCCCTTAACAGCATTGTTTATTTACAAAGCAGCATTGGTACAATGGTTCGTCGCATCACTGTCAGTGGGAATGAGATTTTATAAATTAAACGAAAACATAACATCTCTTAGGAGTTATGAATAGTGATATAAGTAATTAAAATACTGTCGTAGGTAAAGTAGTGGACGCAACTTGCGTAAATAGAGTAAACGACACTATCTTAACGTATTCCTTGCGTAAACTACTATATTACATTGTATACGAAAAGTAAAAAAAAGTCTAATAACACTTAAAACATATATTTGTGCTCTTATACTGTTATCGCACCAGACGATAAATATACATAAAAGATGGCAAATGGTGATCGAGTTTATTCGACACTCCAATCATCATCAGACCCAATAGGCGAATTTTTACATTGTATAATAAAGAAAACTCAAAGGTGTGCAGTTGGGTATTTAACACTAGAAGCAGCTAACTAGTGGCCTTTGTTTGGCCATGTCTTGGATTGCAGTGTTATCATATGTTTATGTTTGCCGTACAGAAACATACAGTTACCGTGCAGTAACTAACAGTTCATGGACAGCCAATTTAATAATCTGTTATGTCGTAAGCATTTATCAATATAGATTACTGTTAGGCGGGGCTTCGCCGCCGTGGATGGAATAGGACTCCTGACGCAGGTAGAGCTGAGGATTATAGGGGTTAATCTGGGACTGTGGGCGAACTGGGACTAATTAGGTTACGGGCGAAATAAAACTCGGGCGGAATAGGACTACACGATTTTTAGGTTCAAGTCTCTTATCTTATCTTATCTTACTAATTATTATAAATGTGAAAGTATGTGTGTTTGTTTGTTTGTTTGAAGTTCAATCACGCATTAACTACTGGACGGATTGGGCTGAAATTTGGCATGATGATAGCTCACATTCCCGATTAACATATAGGCATATTCTTATCTCAAAAATCGTTTTGGGGTTCGCCCCAGTGGCTCTGTAGTTCCCCATGTTAACCTTATGAGTATTCATATTTAAAAAGAATTAAAGTATTTAGTCAGCTGTTTCAACTGAAAAAGTTGGTTCTATGATAAACAAAAGCATTAACAAGTTATAAGATTTACCAACAGGTTGCAGCACTATTATTTTTTTTTGCATTTATGAAAACAGCTAATTTGAACTAAGCAGCAGCAAAAAACTGTGATAAGCAATGAGAACTGTCAAAGTAGGATTGTTTACAGTTATGTTTATTTTTTATTTCATGAATAATTTGTGATATTTACCAAATTTTTTATAATTTTTTTTATCTATTGTTTAGGTGAAGTGGTAGAACATTATGACTATTGTAGAAGTGCCATACTATAGTATACTGTAAATTTAAAGAAACAAATTTATCAAACTGTGTCCTCCCCCATTGCAAACGCAAAGCTTGAATATAACTGGAATAATATTTTACACTTATATGCCAACCCCCGTACGAAGGACGGGTATGACTGCTAGTCCTAAATAATTTTACACAATTCACCATTTTTTTAAATCCGGAACAGCGCCATGTTGGCCAAGGATGGAATGGGGTCCAAAAAATCTCATAGGGTTTTTGCACAAGAATCACTACCTATTTTAAAAATAGGTTTCCACATCAAAATCTCAGTGTTAGCCTGAGGCATAATATTTACTAAAATGGCATAGTTTAATTGATGTTATAAGCACAGCTGTTGTCATTCATTGTTGCTTTATTTATAGTATGACAACGAAATAAAATTGGGGTGCTCTCACTGCCTCACCATGTATATAGTGAATTGAAAATTGCTGCATAAATTGATAATAAAAATACCTGTTTTGAGGGAAAATATTTTTTTATATTATGTTAAGTTTCTAAACGGCGGCTATCCAAAATTGTAAAACTAAAATAATAGATAAATAGTTTTTTATAGGCCTACAAAAATTAAGGTTGATTAGACCGTAATTTACAAAGGTTATTTTTTATCATTTTAATCGAGTGCGTATCTGTTTCAGGCTGAAAACTCTAATTCCAAATACATGATTCATCTCAAGTCCAAGTCTGATCCTATTCATGTGTATTATCTCCAACAGGGCTCAAAACTAAAAGATGTTAAAAATCTTAGTAAATTAAAATCTGAGGTAAGTTGCCATACACAGTTTGGAGGGTGGCTTTTAAGTAAGGGCCAGTTTTGATTATAAATCTGTAATTCACTTGTATGCCGCAACGAGACTCATCAACAGTTACTCGTTACTGGCATCATTTGTGAACAGAATGACACAAATTTCAGCTCTGTAGCTGTCATCTACGCTTTGCTGTGTGTTTGTAAAATTGTTTAAACAATTAAATCTCCTGCCGCGTCCGAGTTAAGGTCAGTGAAAAAGTTGTTTGATTACAAGAAGCATATCTGATGTGTACATTCATCGCCGAATCCTGGAGATTATGGCCCTGATGCAAAGATAGTGTGGAAATTGGCTAGGGAGTTACAAAATGGCAGTGAAAATTCTCATTTCGGAAGGAGTCCCATTTTCACGTGTTTTGGTGGGGTTAAGGCAATGGAACTAGTAAAAAAATCAATCACACATAGGCCTGATATTCCAATTTTTAACTTTAGTTTAGTTACACCTCAGCAAGTTATCAAAATAGTCAAGTCACTAAGTGATAAAAAAAACGGCTGGTTGGGATGGGATTTCAACTACTATGATAAAAAAAGTAATTAAGTTTGTTGCTGAGCCATTGTCCATAATCATCAATCAGACTTTAACCAATAGCACTTTCCCTAATCATTTGAAGTATGCAGAGGTGAAGCCATTATTCAAAAAAGGTTCTAAGAGTAATTCAGATAACTACCGACCTGTTTCTGTCCTGCCTTCTTTTTCAAAGATATTTGAAAAAATTGCATTCAATCAACTGTCCTATTTTCTGGAATCTAATAACTTATTAGCTGATGAACAGTTTGGTTTTAGGAAAAATCGAAGTACCACTTCCACTGTGGCTCATTTTGTAAATTCAATAACACAGAGCTTGGATGGGTCACAGAGCACTATTGGCGTGTTCTGTGATCTATCCAAAGCCTTTGATAGTGTACACCATCAAATTCTTCTTGATAAATTATCCTCCTATAGATTCTCTCAGAATCAGTTATTTTGTGGTTGAAATCATATTTAAACGATCGCTTTCAAAGAACAGTTATTATTAAAGAAAACATTAAGTATGCTTCTGAATGGGAAGAGATTGTTATTGCCTCAGGGCTCTATATTAGGACCGTTATTGTTTTTGATGTACATAAATGATCTACCTAAGAATGTTAAACCTAGTTTTTTGTTATATGCTGACGATACGACAGCCATCATTAAATCAAAAGACAGTCATGAACTAAGTTTAGCCTTGAATCAAGCTCTTCAAGATCTGTCAAAATGGTTTAAAGTAAACGGTTTAAAAATGAACCACATTAAAACACAAATAGTAAAATTTCAAACTGCACAGTGTAGGGACGATCTTGAAGGCTTTGTTTATTTTGATAATGAAAAAATAAATCTTAGCAACACAGCTAAATTTTTAGGAATTGATGTAGATAGTTTATTGAATTGGAAGAATCACATTCATAACACCTCTAAAAAGTTAAATTCAGTATGTTTTCAAATGTTGGTCTTAAGAAATGTTGTTGATTTAAAGATTTGTGATTTATCTACATAAATTATTATAGTAAAGTTTTCTAAATCATGGTAACTTATTCTCCACTAAGTTTTACTACTCCCAGCATTAAAATAAAGTAGTAAGATCCATTATGGGTCAACTTTAAGGTACACAATCCTTGATTCAAATATCAAATATGACTTACTTTCTACTCCTTGTTATAAAATTACAACAATTACTACGATACTATAAACTAATACCTACGACTGTTTTTAAGCTAGCCATTTCAGTGCAATTCTTAGAATTAAAAAGATTCCCTTAACAGCATTGTTTATTTACAAAGCAGCATTGGTACTACAAATCTATAATAGGATTAGTATCTTTTAAAGAAAAAATTTTTGAATTTTTATTGGAAAAGAATTATTATAGTATTGGTTTCTTGAAGATAAATCAATGTGAATTGTTTGTTTTGTTACCTACTATGTATTTATTTTTACCAATATAAGCTAGTTTATTTTAGTATAGTTTGACAATGTCACCTGTTTTGTCTGGCTGTGCCAGAGCATAAAAAAAACGTTTTGTGACAATAAAGATGACTTTGACTTTGACCCAGACTTCTCAAAGAAGACCACTATGAAAAAAGGATTTCACGGCCATTTTTACATCCCATAACCCATTTCCGCTCTTTATCCACACTCATTGCATTAGGGACATCACTTCAGTCATTTGGTGATGAATGTCAGCATCGGATATTTTTCTTGTAAACCAAAAAACATATCATTCATCTTACCTCGGACACGGCGGGAGATTTGATTGTTTAACCAATTTTAAAAACACACAGCGAAGCAGCCATGACAGCTACAGAGCTGAAATGTGTGTCATTCTGTTCACAAATGATGTCAGTAAATGGTGATGAGCCTTTTTGTAGAGTACAAGCGAACTAAAGTCTTAGATAAGTGAATCGACTCTCTTGGGTTGAGAAAGAAATAGGAATTTGTGTAGTGTTACATGTCATTCATTCACCATTAAATATTAATTTCCCTATAATTTTATATGCTGTCCCTTATAATGTTTGTTAATGTCCCTAATAATGTATTAATAGTTTTTTGAAATGTTTCTCCTTGTTAATATGTGTTATTTTATCAAATTTGTTCAACCTATCTATATATCTATTCTATTACTTATTTAATACGCAAGCAGGATTTTTGTGACAATTACTCCTCCGAAACTACTGAACCGATTGACATGTTTTTGGTGTCATTGGAAAGAGGGTAACGTGAAGTTGTGCAGGAAACTTTCTTTTTAGGGAAATAATGAGAGATTGATGGCCTGGACCTGGAGCCCTTTAAAGTTTCGTTTTTCTCCATAAGGATAACATGGGAGATAATTTGTATTTACAGAAACATTGTTTGTTACTTGAAAATACTCAAAGTCTACTACATAATAATTGCTGTGTATTATGACTTTTAATGTATACCTACTACATTTGAATCAAGGATTGTGTACCTTAAAGTTGACCCATAATGGATCTTACTACTTTATTTTAATGCTGGGAGTAGTAAAATTTAGTGGAGAATAAGTTACCATGATTTAGAAAACTTTACTATAATAATTTATGTAGATAAATCACAAATCTTTGACATTATTAATTCATTTGAAATAGGGATGGACGAGATTGGATTTTTAGTTCGAGACGAGACGAGACGAGATTTTTTATTTCTCATAAAATTTCGAGACGAGATCGAGACGGGATTTCCCTTCTCATACACAACGGGAAATGCACGTTCAAAATGTTTACCTGATTTTGTAACATTGTTAGATGACTGTTTAAATACAAAAATAATGATAATAGGCAAGAATATTTACAATCTTTTATTAAAAAACATCAGCATAACATTTTTTTTTTAATCACGCCTAACTTATTAAAAATGCCTACGATTAGGAAACATAGTGATATCATTTAGGATAGAGTTCAACTTATCCTAAAATAAAATAAATCATAAAATAGAAGCAATATTAATTTTTATAAAATAGTTAGGTACTTGTTTTGACTTTTTATAGTAATAAAACATTCCTCACACTGCTTACACTTAACAAAACTTCTAAAATGTTATTAAAGTAATATTATTAAAATAATTAAAGTAATATTTACATTTAAAGAGTTAATTAATAAGAACGCCTTCGCAAAGGAAACGCAACTACAACACGCTCCTGTATTGCGGGTATTGCATTGACTTTCTGCAGGCGTTTTTAATTTTTTTTTTTTTTTTTTTTTTTTTTTTTTTTTTTTATTCTCGTCTCGATAAAAATCTCGGCCAAAAAAAAATCTCGTCTCGTGTAACGAGATTTAAAATTTCCCGAAAATTTCCCAAAACTTCGAGACTTGACCATCCCTAATTTGAAACTTAAACAGCTGATCGACAAATCAAACAAATCATCTACTTCATGTGAATAATGTTATTACACAAACTTTTAACCAATATCTAGATTCTTTTTTTACTTGTGGGTGTATTTTGAGTTTGCAGTTATGAAAGCACCAAGCCAAGTAACTTTTATCAAATTTTCTTTATAAACTAACAGTATTAATGAATTACTACATGAACTTGACAAGTCAGGTCAGGAATTGTCAGTTTGCCAAGGGGAAGAAGAGTGGGTCCTTGAAAACAGACGAAGGCGGAGACACCCATCTAGAAAATCCAACTGAGTTTTTAAATATAGAGGTCAGTGGATTGCTAAGACACAGATTAGACTAATAAAAGGGGGCAGTGGTTTTATTGATGAGGAATATTAATACATCAAAAAGGGCCTCATTAATGGCACAAGGCTTCATGTGATCAGAATGGTTAACAACTTAATACAATGTTAAGTCTTCTGGAACAAGTGAGTGGGGCATATTTTGATTTTTGAGGATAAAAATTTACCCGTCTTAAACAAACTTACCTTTTAACCTTCCAAGTGTCCATAGTTTAGGCCTTAATGTCCACCTATTTTTGGCGCATTTGCAAGGTTTTATTAAAACGGATCTGAGAAGCTTAAAACAATGTTAATTCTAATGTTCTATATACCATGTCTAATGTTTGGAAAATCATGGGCTTGAATATCATACATAAAACATAAGGAATATTTGTTTCAAAAAATTTTTTTAGGTAAAAAAAAATTATTTTGGAAAAATTGAAAAAAAAAAATAAGTTTGCGCTCAATGAAATTGTATAAATTATAGGCCTATAAATATTTGAAAATAGCCACTTTGTTCTAAATTTTATGAGGATTACAAATATATAATAATATAAGGAAGTAGATTTGCAAATAAATAAGTTATGGGCAAAAAACAGATTTCAGTACATAGCGTTTAGCTAAGAATGCATAGCTAGGAATCTGGCTGATAATTTACATCAATATCACTACCTACTTCTTCAGGATCATCAACCAGCACTTCAAAACCACTTAAATCTTCTTATAATGCACCACGTATATCACTACTTTTGATTTTTAACACTAAAACAATGATAAACGTAATAAAACACATCAGTCATCGGTCCGAGGGTAACCTAGCTGTTTACAAATACACGCACGTCAGCTGTCTGCTACAATTACGATCGGCTCGGAGAACATACAGCGCTGAGACAGACCTCTGGAGAAAGCTTAGAATATAACGGAAAGAACGATACCTAACTCGATCCAGTTCAATCCGATTCAGTCAGTCATAGAGCCTTCGCCGTAAACGATGTCTGCGTGTCGAAAAATCGACAAGTAACACTACACAAAGTGTGCTGCTTGTCGAATTTTCGTCAAGTAACACTGGGAGGGTTAAAATGGAAAGATGGTAATTTCTGTTACCTTTGGCATTTGCAGCGCTGTTCTTACCCAGACCAATTTCAGTCATAAGGAACTATATTATTTGTTGTTTTAAGTAAGGCTACATCTTTTAATAGGATAAGCATATTCGTTACGGAAAACTCTGACCAGGGTAATCGTCCTGAAGGTAACTTTAAGGCTAAAATCGTAGTATTCATGGAAGTGCTTTTGTGATAAAAAATATTGTTTTTTTAGTGTTTATTTTTATAAGTGTTTTTTCTTCAAGCAGCATTTTTATGACCCTCAAAATATGCTACATAGGCCTACTGGTTTGATATGATAAAATGTTTTGTAAAATGTTTTATAAAAATCTTTAAAACATAACTACCCTATAACCTTGCTCGCTGCCTATAACATACTTGAAGTTGAACACTTATTAATTTACTAAATATAATACACATACAGCTAGAAAATGGCTGGACTGCTTCCCTTCCAAGGCTTCATTATTACTGTATTTAATTTTCGACGTCGAGTCAATATATAATACGATGAATTTGTTTTCTAAATTCATATGTTATTTTGCGGGGCATTGAGCCGCATAGGTTCACTAGTATATATATAATACGCTAAGCCGATTTTTGTGAACAGAACTCCTCCCTCATTTTTGGACAGATTTTGATGATTAAAATGTCATAAAAATAGCCCTGATCTGTAGTTTTGCAATTATTAGTTTGGACAGGATCTTCCATCGAAGTTAGGTTTTCTCCCATAAGATTAACATGGGGGAATCTAAATATTTAATTGGAAACTTTGTCACCACTAATTTGAGAGAACGGATTGATGCAGAAACTTGGTAGAGGTCTCCAAAGAAAGGCCTTGGTCTGTAGATGAGTTATCAAAAGAAACAAAAAGTAAAGTCCCTTAGGGCTCTGCCCCAGAAGCCTTTAAAGATCCCTCGACAGATTTGTTTACATTTTGGCCACGTGAATAATACTTTTTAACCGACTTCCCTACGGACGCGTTGCAGAAAGTCAACAGTCCCGGAAGGTCAAATAATTTATACCTGTGCCGCTAGGTCAAAAACTACAATGTTTGCAGTGTCTGTAGATCGGGTCGCCGGATTTTTACCCCCGTGGTCAGCTCTGCCGCGTATCGGCCAATATTCATTGTTGTAATTGATTTTATAAATTTCTTTACCTTCTTATATCCAGTAGTAAACATGCGATATGTCGATGCTGTTTTAACATTATCCATATTTGTTATTCAATAAGTTGTAACAGTCCTTTTCAACCCGACCTACTTCACTGATTTTTACGATCGAGATGTCTTTTAAAAGCTTAAGATCTAGCGCAGCACAAAATGGTAATTGAAAGGTTATTTCGATTAGGGCTTCAAAAGGTTGACCCCTAAAGCCTTTGATTTATTCCTAGAAGGTGCTTCCAATGGTTGACCAACTTTTACACATACAGTAACAGTTTAAAAGTGAAATGTGAGTAGTACTCATCACATCAATTTTTAAGTCAGGTTGTGAAAACATGAATAGATCGTCTGCAACTGCAATTATTATGAGATGAAAAAGTTATGAAAATAATATAATATTGCGTACTTTTCACATGGTCAAGTGTTACATCGTACTGAACCATTGTTTTTACACACATTTCTTAAAGGATAAAGTGAATAAACTGTGGTGAACTTCCAGTTTATTCAATGTAGGCCTAGTAGTAATAATTGTTTGGTAAACCAAAACTCAGTTGTAAACTGTTAAATTGAGAAAGAGGATCAATAAAAGTCAGGTGAATAATGGTAAATTTTGCATATCACCTAGTAGGTAGTAAAAAAAATTGTTTCTAAGATTTTAGATGCGTACTAAGAAACGATTTTAAGTATTTTCTCTTAAATACCTAAAATAAGACAATTGAGTTGTAAACTGTTAAATTGAGAAAGAGGATCAATAAAAGTCAGGTGTATAATGGTAAATTTTTCACATCACCTAGTAGTAAAAAAATAGTTTCTAAGATTTTAGATGCGTACTAAGAAAGGATTTTAAAGTATTTTCTCTTAAAGACCTAAAATAAGACAATTATTAAAATTCAAAATAATGGCCACATTCAATTTTTTAAGCATAGCCTAATATCTTTTAATATATATATACGCCTAAATACCCCCATTGCAGCACATTCGCATATTCAGAGAATGTATAAAGTCTTATTGGAAAATCCTGCCTTAAAACAAAACTTGTCAACTTATGTCAATAAATAAGTGTTCAAAAGATTCATTCATAAGAATACCATCTGGAAGTGAATAAGCAGGTTTCCTGTCAGTAATGTGTTAAAATGAGGCATTTTAAGGTAGTATACAGAACAGAATTAGGCGAAACCCGTCAACATTGACGGTTAGGTACTTTCAAGGCTTATGCTAATTCATATAACTGCGACAAATAGATTGAAGTAATAAAAATTTTGAGCATTTAGCTAGCTCTTTAGCTTTTTTGATGAGTAATAAGTGTAAAAGCAATAATGACTATTGCATAAGTTACAAAATATGGTTGATCATTCAATGAATAAAATATTTCCCATACCGTACGTCATAAGAGTTATTATTACAATGTTAACTGGTTTCTCTTCTTTTGGAAGAACCTTTAAATAGTATTAAAACCGTATTGGTCAATCTTTTGTGATAAACACTTCCGATCCGCGCTCATGCATGCGCCGTTAGCTGTTACCATTGACTTTATATCTCTACACGTGTAGAGAAATAAAGTCAATGCTGTTACTGTAGGCCTATGTGAAAGTTGGTCAACCATTTAAATCACTGTCTTGAAATGAATCAAATCCTTAAGGGTCTTACTTTTGAAGCCCTTTATCAACATGTAGTTTTAAATACCATTTTGCGTTGAGCTGGATCATAAGATTTAAAATTACACCTTAATCATAAATATCAGTGAAGTAGTTTGAGTGAAAAAGGGCTGTTACAGCTTATTTTATTAGGAAGATAGATAATGTTAAACAAGGCAATGACATATCACATGCTTAATACTAGATAATAGAGGGTAATGATTAACCAAAGAGCCGTTGATTTACATAAAGCAATTTATAAAATCAATTACAACAATGAATATTGGCCGATACGCGGCAGAGCTGACCACGTGGGGTAGATGTCTGGGGGTAAATGTCCGGGGGTAGATGTCCGGGGGTAGATGTCTGGGGGTAGATGTCCGGGGGTAGATGTCCGGGGGTAGATTTCCAGTCGCGGGCTGTTTCTCGAACGTGTATAAGCCCCGCCCCTCGTGACGTCAAAATGACGTAGGCGTTTTTTCATGGGGGTAAATATCCGGGGGTAGAAATCCGCTACCCCTGTAGATAAAAAATCCCAGTAAGTCAAATAGTACAGTCCGAGCTAAAAACATGGTCTATGTTAAAGCAATTGACTTATTGGGAATTTGACCTAATGCAACAGCAGTTTTAATATAACGAAATAAGATAAAATATTAGTTCAGTTTCGCTGAGTCAAAAATGCCGGAAGGTCAAAAGTATAATCTGTTAAATTGCTGTGACTCGGAACAAACCCATAGCATTTTAGAAATTGTGTATTTAGAAATTCCCATAGCATTTTAGGATTGCCCATACCCTTATCCAATCATCATAAACAGTTCCCCCGGACAGCTCGCCTTGACTACTTCCTTAACACCTTCCTTCGTCACAGACCTGTTTCCCTCCCTTCCCATAGCATTTTAGGATTGCCCATACCCTTATCTAATCGTCATGAACAGTTCCCACGCTCCGGACTACTCGCCTTGACTACTTCCTTCACCACTTCCTACGTCACGGACCTGTTTCCCTCCCTTCCCATAGCATTTTAGGATTGCCCATACCCTTATCTAATCGTCATAAACAGATCCCAGACTTCTCACTGCTACCCTTGACTA